AAACATTTGTTACAGATGAAATAATATGTATAATACATAAACAATAGTATTACATCATGTTGATATATATGTGTCAGTACAAATAGGATCATATGAATGGTTTCATATAGCCAGTAAATATTGTAGCTAACCGAAATGAAGGCATCAAACAAAAATGAATTACTCGTAATATCGATTTACTAGAGTTTTCTCCGAGAGCCCTTTCTCGTGTGTGATTGTGGGCCACGAGTAGGATAGTTTTTTGTTCAACTAGAGGACTTGGAATTTTTGTAAGCAAACATGAAATGCTTCTGAAATGGAACAACAACATGCAAAGAAAGTTAAATTCAAAGTGTGGAAAGACATAATTACCACAATATGAAAATAAAAAGTGCTGGAATTTGTTGCTCGGAGACTAGGTTCACTTCTCTCTTATCGTCTAAGTCAGTATGAACAAACCATGCAACTCAGAAGATGGCACTCGGGAAAGTAGTAATGACTTGTCTGTAAACGATATAAAGTACCGTTACTTTTCATCAATTTAACTAATTTCTCTAATCTCTTCACATTTTAACCCATTCGCGACAGGGGAATGAACTAAAAATGGGGAAAATGCTGTACTCATTTTTTATATTTTCTGTGAAATGTATCTACACATAGATGGCTCTGCCTTACCTGATTTCACCTTTACTTGAATTGGTGGGAAAATGTATTTTTTACTAGTGTTATGAATATTGATGGTGTTATTCTTATTATAAACATTATAATTACTATAATGTTATAAACAATAGTAATAGCAAAATAAGATAACGTTAAATATTTTCGTAAATTAAAGAAAAGGGTAAACGGGCGAGATGGACAGTACTCATAACTGGCTCATTGGTCTTTTAGTACAAATGTAGCCATCTATGTGTAAAAACAATAAAAACAAGTAAACTCCCAGGAAAACTTTCTGCGTATGTCAACCAATCGTACAGTAAAATAAGTGTATGGAATGGATACCTTGACGAAAACTAAGACACTTTTTCTCTATGGTAAAAGGTGCGCAAATCTAAAATAAGGGAGATACAGGACAGAAAAGACAGATGATGGAACCTTCATTTTCTAAGTCCCCTTCCATGTTTATCTTGCGAGGATCAAAACAAAATGTGACACATAACTCATTACTGCGATCCAGCAAGTAGTCCATGTATTGCTACGTGCTTTTGATAACGCTTATTTTGTCATTACTAGTGTCTGATTCTCTGAATTCATGTATGTAATGCATTCTTCTAGTTTTATTATACTTGCGTCTTTTGGTAATTATTAATGTTATTCTGTACAATAACCTTTTGCGCATGTGCGTTTTCACTGGGAGATTTGACAGGTCCAGGGGGCACAGCCCCCTGGCTAGGGAATATATAGATTGTAGCGTATAAATCCCATAGGGTTAGGTTAGGTTGGCTTATTGTTTAGGACACATTGTACGATTACCACAGGGGATCTGGATTATGTGGAATCCTGTAGATTTTTACCGAACGGTGGGTTTGGTTCCTGTAGAGTTTTTCGAAAATTGGTGCGCCGGTCCATAGATTTTTTAAGATGGTGGCAATGGCCGTAGAGTTTCATTAGCCGATTTTAAGCGTTTTTTGTGCTTGTTTTGCACATTTCTGCTCTTTATTTTGCTTATTTCAGCCTGTTTTACCCTGTAATTTCCCTGATCTACTTCATGCCCTCCCCTTATCAAATCACATCAAGATTGTCGGCTGGATAATCTGACAGAGAATATCATCAGATTCAACCTCATCACACGAGAATAAATCTAATGATATAAACATTGTCAGGGAAGACCCAATTGTCATTTTTGGAAAATTAACCAACTCACTGTGGGCATGTCACGTATACATGGCAGCCCACCATGAATGGGTTAAACTTTAGTGTGATATCATTTTATGGTATTGTAATGCAATGTCTGTTGACTGTTTCCCTGGGAGATCTGGCTGTGTGTGCGCAGTGTGGAATTCCCGAACTCTACTGTAATCACAGCACTGAATCAGTCAGCCCCTGCAACCTGCGTATTTACAGCAGGAGAGAGAGCATTGGAAAGACTCAGCATCGGATGCTCCTGCATGTTGGTCGTGCACTCTACCCTGCCGTTGCTAGAGCAAGAATTCCACACTGCCATGCATGACTGGAACTCCTGTGAAACTAGTTAATAGACATCACATTATGTTTCCATAATCATAAGCCACATCATATGAAATAATAGAATAATAGAAACTAACACAAAGTACAATATTTTTGCAGATGTTTCCCATAGATGCAAAAAGAATACCCATATTTTGCTAAGTTCTTGTTTAATTTTACCAAGAGTGATGCACAAAGGTTGAGAGAATTGCACACTGCCATCTTACAGAGCATAAAAGATAGTGGAAGTATTATCAGCAAACACCAACATTTTATTATTAATGCCTGGTTTTGTGGGGCTCCCAACAGAAACTAAGCACACATTATTCAAATCTAATCAAAAGGGATATAAAGATATATGTTGGTTCCCTGTCATCTTTTTGTGATATACTTAGATTTTTTTTCTTCTTCTTCCCTTTCTTTCTTTCTATCTCTTTTCTTTTCTCTTCTTTTCTATCTCTCTTTCTTTCCAGATGGAATTGTGGAGTGAGAGTAGCATTTGAAAGAGTGACCTTTCAAAAATAAAGTTCTTAAGGTGTGTACAATAATATATAGATTAAACCTTTACTGAAGCAGAATATACATACTCTCCATTATTTGGATATTTTTATATATATTGTATTAAATTATCAGTATATTGCATATCACATTTGTCTGAAATTTATTCAAAGCAATAAAGAAGGTATTTCTTGTTCATATCTGTAAGAGAAAAAACAAAATTAGGGGTCATATTGACTGGGCCATAACTCTCCCAAAATATGATGAAGATGTATAGTGTGTAAAGATATATCATTATAAGAATGAATTTTGTTGTGGTTATAGATATAGATCCATACACAGGCAATGTTTAAAGGATGGTATGGCTCAGCATGGAAGTATTGCACCATGTTTCAAGTGTCTGGCATATTCTCTGTTTGCAAGTTTGTACAAGGTTAGACATGTTGAGAGTATAGGTAGGTCCCTCTTCTTGATTTGATTGTTGCTTATTGGTAAATTTTGGTCTTTGAAATTGTCAGTGGTTAAATGGTGACAAAATTCAGAGCAGGTAATTTATTTTCAAATAAGACAGAAGTAGTCATGCTATTTCCTAGATGGAATTCAGCAGCCAACTAATGAATTGCTTCTGGCTGTGATGGAACCCCCATAGATGCTAGTCAATTCCTGTATTCATGTACCCATGTTTATCTGTGTATCAAGTTATAAATGTGACATTATAAAAGGGGATGTGCAGCATGCTTTCAACTATTATTTTTTATGGCATTGTCTGTTTGTTGAACTTGCTGGTTAAAAGGTGCAAACTTGTTTCCCAGGCCTAACCTAATCAATATTATGGAACCTTAGGTGTTGACCCAATAAAACTAAAGATCTCTCTTGTTATAATAGATGTGTACAGTCTAGTGGGAATGGGAGTGAATGTTTTATTATGGAAGAGAACAGAATACTGAAAATAAGCACACAAATATAGTCTCTGGTATAGTAGTGTGAGGGAATGTGCAGGTACAGTGGCATGGTCCAGGGCTGACTCCTATGGGGCTAAGCTGAAAGTGTTAACGGCAGGTGGACACATTCTGACGGGGCTTCACTTGAAGAGACACAAAGTCTGATTTTGACAATGGGAGGCACTTGTGTTGATGGTACTTTAGGGAGTGACCAATAGCATGTGGCTCGCTAAGAGTTTAGGCTTGAATATTGATAAACTGTTTCCATAACTGTACTTGAATATTCTTGCATAGCAATTTCACATCTAATAGATAATGGACTTTTAATTGACACTGTTGATGATGCATCATGCAAGGCACTCGTGAGTAAGTCCTCTTTTTCTATGAAAAGATAAGAAAGAGAAAGAGAAGTAAAGTTCCTCCAGTTTATTTGTATGTAAATGTATCTTCCTTTATGGTTTCTATTATGTGCAAGAAACTATTATTTCTCCTACAGCTGTTTTCATTGATGATTCAGGGAAGTACAAGATTGTGTAGATAAATAGTCAGAAAAATATCAATATGACAAAAATAGGCTCTGTTTGGCAGCGCTCTGAGTTTAAGTCCCTGTTCAGGTTTACCTTGCCAGGATCAAAACAAATGTGACGTGTAACTCATTGCGATCTATCTTGTAGTCCCTGTATTATTATGTACTTGTGAAATGATTATTTTTTAAATTTTCAATTAATTTTCTGAATTCATATATTTAATTAACCCATTCGCCACGGATTTATGTTCTGTCCCCTGTTGTTTTTGGTGAATTTTGCTACCTACAGATGGCTCCACATGTACTCAGCCGGCAAGGAGTCTATCAGTAGGCCCTAGTTACCGACCCTGATTTTCCCATTCATTGAATTGGCGGGAAAATTGATATCATTGCTTTCGATGCTGTTATTATTGTTACTGATGTTATGATGATTGAATTGTCATTAGAATATTTTTGACAATAAGATGATACAAAAAAACCTTTCCGAAAGTGAAGGAAAAGGCTAAACAGGTGAAATAGGTAGTTCTTGATAACTGGCTATTTGATGATTAAGAACTTGTAGAGCCATCTAGGTGTAAATACAATAAATAAACGTGTATCAAAGTGGGTATGGCATCTATTCTTGCCAACCGCGGCGAATGGGTTAATTCTTTTACTTTTATTATGCTTCTTTTACGCATTTTGGTAATTACATTATTTAGTACAAAAACCTTATGCTCATGCAGGTTTTTCCACTGGATGATTTGACAGGCCGTGTTATGCCATTCATTCCGATATGGCAGTGAAAAGTGTTACATTTTAATTGTTGCTTCAATTCCGGGTCATTTTTAAAGCCATATAGTGGATATATAGAACAAATAGATATTAGTATATATTTCAGCCAGATATTTGAGCCCAACAAGAGCCCCAAATGCAAAAAAAAAAAAACTGATTAGAAACCAAGGAATTCGGACCATAGACAGAAGTCAAGAAAAATTCGGTGTTTCCCTTTATAAAGGTATGTGGTTTTACCCTGGGGGTTCAGAGGCAGAGCCCCTTGGCTAGGGAATATATAGATCGTATTTTCTTAAAGCCACAGGGGTTCTGGCAAGGCGCATATAATACTACGGGGGTTTAGGGGGTGTAGCCCCTGGCTAGGCGCATATAATTAGACTAGGCTAGGTTAGGTTTATATATTACTAGGGATCCAGGATAGGTGCATATAATACCACGGGGTTCCAGAGGCAGGGCCCCCTGGCTAGGGAATATATATATCATAGTGTATAAATCCCACAGGGTGAGGTTATGTTGGTTTATAGGTTAGGATGCATTGTACAATTACTACAGGGGATCTGGATTATGTGTTATCCCATAGATTTTTACCAAAGACTTGGTTTGATTCCTGTAGAGTTAAGTTAATTTTAGTAAGTTTATTTACCACCCTGGCTATCTTCTCAGGCGTGGGCAATCATGATTACAGTTTTACATATATCTGACACAGTACAGTAGTCTGTGACTACTGTAATTGTTCATGGTCATATAGAAATGTCATACATCATACAAAAAAAAATACATTGTTATGCTTTTGCCACTGTGTTTTTGTCTACGGCAGTTTTACTTTTTTTTTTTTTTTTTTTTTTTTTTTTTTTTTTTTTTTTTTTTTTTTTTTTTTTTTTTGAAACTGGCGTGGTGGTCTGTAGACTTCCCCCCCCGCCCCCTCCCTTTCGGGACAGAAATTTGGCTTGGGTTTTTAAAATATGACTTTTTAACGTTTCATAAATCACTTTCTTTGATTTCTACAGGTTCCTATTGCTATCCAGTGCCATCCATTACCCCCCCCCCTTCCCCCTTCATCCCCCAGGATCATTGGGTAGAGGAAACAAAAAAAATCTGATTTTAGAACTTAGTCTCTGGGAGGGAGTATCACACGGTAATAATTACGTTTATTGGTTTTTATTATATATCATTATTTTCCTCCAACCAACAGGGCATGGCGAGAGATAAACTAGTTTGCTTCTCACCTACGGGTGAGAAGCTGGCACACAGTGGACTAGATGGTATATTACGAATCTGGAATACTGTATCTGGAGTCCTAGAGCATGAGTACCAGCCAGCAGAACACCTCACAGCAACAACCTCTTGCATCAGATATTCACCTCATGTAAGAAGTATTTTTTGTTATTTATTTGTTATAAGTTCAAAGGAAAACCTTGAGTTTGAAACCATATCTGGAGTTATGTAATATTTTTGTATTTAAATGCCATTCCATTTAAACTGTCTCTTTTTTCCAGACACCCAAAAAGAATAATAAAGGCCAGAAGAATGAAGACACCAACAAAAATAGTTTAATAGCAATGGGAACATTAGCAGGAACAATTATACTCTATAGTCCTGAGAAAAGGGAAGTCATAGCCACACTTGAGCATGGTCCTACAAATGCTGTTTTAGATATAGCATGGGGAGGCCCAAAAAAACTCTTTTCACTTGGTGAAGATAACATCGTGGTCGAGTGGGACATCGTCTCGGGAAAGAAAATTTTGTAAGTTTTGTGAACATGAAAATTTTTTAGCATAGTACATCATAACAGCTTCATATGAAAATGATGGATGAAGTATGGATTTGATGAGTAAATCGGTATTGGTTTTGAAATGGCATTATGTTTTGCAGGGCTTCACCAGTAAGTGGAGGAACTTCGCTATGCTACATTGACAAAAAGACATTAGTAGTCGGTCATAGAAGCCTAGAAGTTGTCTCTTTGTTGAAGAATGAAAGCAGAGTCAAGGTCAAGAAAAAATTCACAGGCCACATGTCCCTAATTACTCAGCTTCTCTCTGTTTGTCCCGAAGAAGGTTCACCCAGATACTTTCTTTCCTCCTCTGAAGATGACAGATATTTCTATGCCTGGTAAGTTGCCTGAGTGTTGTGCTAGAATGATAATGTATGATACATTGAATTTCTTAAATAAAACTTGGAATAGAAAAGGTTGGTGGTTCTAGACTCTACGAAAAGTTGTAAGGAATATTAAGCTTTGATTAGAATTATAACTGAATTCTATATTGGAAGTACAGATTGTTTAATGATATATATTTTGATTTATGGAATCATGAATAAGTTTAACATCTTCAAAAAAAATGTAGAAAACATTATGAACAAAAAAAGGTTGATTTTACCTCCTAAAATAACTAAAGTAATGCATATCCTTTTTCTTAGTGATTTTTATTTATATATAAAAACAATGTTAAATGATATGTTTAAAAGTATTGCACATGAATGAAAATATACCAGTAGTAAAAGGTCTACCATTTTTTATATCATTTTCATATTTTTCTTTTATTCACTAATTTTGTACAAAGTAGCAGAGCTAATCAAATGTTGAGATTAGAATACTATTATCCCTTTTGTGGCTTTCATAACTGCTTCCAGAATGAGCAGGGAGGAGGAAAGCCATTCACATCCTTTTATTTAACACCATTTTTTTTCTCAGGGACTTGCAAAAGGAGGATTCTGAACCTGTTGGAAGTTTTATGGTAAATGACACGATTTTGTCAGTGGCAGCAGGAGAAATGAAAGAAAGTACGGTATTAATGGCAGCAGTTACCAGCAGAGGTGTCCTTGTTCTCTTCAGACAACACTTAAATGGGTAACTATTTCATAAACTTTTTTAAATGACAGATTAGATTTCTTAACTGTTTTCATGTTTCAAGAGATTTTGATTTACAAAAAGAAAAGGGTATTTACTATGTTATTCATCATCATACTGTGCACAAGTGCAGAACTGTGCCCTCTTAGAGCAATTTTCCTTAGTCTCTGTAACCAAAAGTCATTGTAGGCTGGACTGAACATTTCAGCTTGTGTAAGGCTCGTGAATATGTTGGCAAAATTTCAAGTGTCTTTATTTTCAGAAATGTAAAGAGGCAAGCAGTTAAATCAATAGGAAAGTTGAAAATAACTGCAAAATCCAAAAGCAAGCCATCGACTATACCTATTGTGTCAGCCTTCTTTTGTAATGACAGTACATCTCATATTACCATTGCATACGGCAGTTCATCAGTTCTGAAATTTGAGAGACTAGTAAGTAGCTACCGGTTTTTCTCTGTTTGCTATGTCTGAACTAAGTTTAACATTTAAACTTTAATCTAAATAAGTAACACACACATAATGTTTTCTAAATCCTTCATGAAGAGAAAGAGGAGTTAGAAATATATTTGAAGTTCATTACTGCAATCTTCAAATTCTCAGATGTGTACTTGACAGATAGATAGGGAAAACTTTTTTTCTACTTCTTTCAAACAGTTGACCTGTTGAGAACAAAAGGGAAATGTGATAGTGTAATATATATTCTGTTAATGTTTTTTGTGTACTTATTGAAGCATTTTAGCAGTATTGTGTGATAATGGTATTTCTGCCTTTTTTCAGAGCGTAGAAGAAATATTGGCCCAAAAAGAGATAGTAAGAGAAGATCCTAACAAAACATCTGTCACAGAAACCTCTTTAATCAAAACAGTGACACCTAAGGTTACAAAAAAAGCTACCATAGTCAGCCATTATACATCACTTTCAGTAAGTAACAGGTGTGGTGGGTGCATTCCATTGCATTTATGAATGGGGTAAATGACATAGATTGGTGCACTTTCTCTAGCTTCTTTTATGGGTTTTGTTTCAACTGTAACCTGACTTAAGATCCCTGGTTCACATGAGATCTGTATGTATGTAGAACAGGACTCCATGACTTACCCAGCTGTTGTGCCAGCATAAGGTGGTAAACCTTCAGGCTAAAGGGTTTTGATGTCTGCTTTATAGAACTTGTCATTACTAAAGAAAAGAAATTTAAGTGGTTGTTTTGATATGATTAATGATGCTACTTTTGGTGCTATTGATATTAGTGATAAAGTAATGTGCTGTTAATTTTGTTTATGCTGTAATGCAACTTGATTATTTTCCAGCAAAGTGAAAACAAAAGAAAATTAGGCGATGAGGATGGTGCTGCAGCCCTGCCCATGGAGGAGAGGCTCAACACCCTGGTATTAGACACGCCAACAGTACAGGGAGAAATACCAAAGGCTGATAACCTTACACAGTTACTTCTTCAGGTAAGGAAGCTTTAGTAGATTATGAAATAATTGAAGATGCGGATAGCAAGATAGAGAAACAGTTAGATTCTGGTGGAAATGCATATATCCAAGGGCTGGCTAGATACAGGTAGATTGGCAGGCATAAATACATAGAAAACCCCTTATGGAAATATATAAACACAGGATGTAAAATAAATATGGATGGACTTAATTGTAGAATTGGGGGGGGGGGGGCAATCCTAAGGAAAATTAAATTTGAATATTTCAGCATTTTAATGGTCATTATGTTTGTTTATTTGTAAGATTGTAAAATTTAAATTATAGATTTATCTTGTGTAAAATCGTTCCATTTATATTTTCATCAGTAGTGGCAGATTTTTAAAAAAAGATCAGATTTTCTTTGGGGATGTACAAAAAGGTATTTCTTAACCTTTATTTGCATGACAGTAAGTAAGGTACTTTCCCCGACAGCAGTAGTGAAGCACCGAAACAATAGTTTCAGTTTGTGCTGTTGCTTCTGTTAATGCTGATGCACATTATATTTACTTAAGGAGCAAGAGGTGTTAAATTCTAAATTGCCTTTTATTTTGATGTAAATTTTTTTTGTTACAGGGTTTACATAGTAAGGATAAACGTCTACTATCTGGTGTATTTGATCGTAGAGACCAAAATTTGATCAACAACACCGTACGCAGACTCCCAGTCCAAGCTGTGGTACCACTTATAGAGCATCTGCAGACACTTGTCATGGGCAAAGGGCACAAGTCAGTTTCCATTTAGTTGTTGTTGATGCATTTGAGTTATTTATTAATTTTTTAAAGTCTTTAGTATATTCCTTTAGTCACTGGAAGAGGAAATTCAAACAAATGTAAACGTTACACATGTCACAGTGCTTAGACCCCATTTTTTTCATGGCCATAAGCGTGAGGATAGATTCACAGCATCTGTTAACTAAGCAAAAGTCCTTATAATATTCTTTTGTATTCCAGACACTTTGGTTATGTCACCTGGATTCGTGCGGTTTTATATTATCACATGAGCCATCTGAGTACAGTTCCAAACCGCATGGAATTGATGAGACCATTCTTCTCTGCAAGTGCATCAAAATTGTCAACACTCATCCAGGTGATGCAGCTTCATGCTAGACTTGACCTGATGTTGAACCATGTTGCCACAAGACATCAAGAAGAAAAGCAGGCAGAGATAGAACCAGATGCCATGTTGGTATATAGAGATGGTAAGTAAAATTTGTTGGTTCCAAATGACCTTTAGAAATGTCTTCAGTAAGAGATTGGAACTATAAGATGCTGTTTTTGTAGTCCATTATTCTTCTTCAATTTTTCCAGTCTCTTCATTTCTCTTATTGTATTGTATCCTTAAAACTAAATGCAAAAGTTAGTTCTTAATTACTATGCCTTAACAGCACACATTTCAAATGATTTGTTGGTTAGTTGCCAAATTCTGAAGAGCACTGAGTGTGTGTTGTGCCCTTCAGTTATTGGATTTGGCTTGAGAACAAGTTTGGTATTATCTTGCAGGTTGCTCTTTGTTATTTTTTGTTTGGGTAAAATATCTAGTTTTGAGTGAAGTCCACAGTACAATTCTTCAGGTAATCTAACAACTGCACTACAAAAATCTTGGGAGTAGTGACACTTAGGTTTTCCTATTTTGTGTTTGCTGTATTCAGTTAGATGCTATCTCTTCTGTGTTGTGGATGACCTTTCACCTTGACTCACTCATGCCGGGATGACATCCTATATGATGTCCTATCTAGTCTTGGTAGACCACCCTTCCCACCAGGATGATTTCTTTGTGTCATTTTTGGTTTAGCTGCTCTGAACTGTGGATGCCAAACAGTTGTGCACTGGTTAATCCCAGGCTACGTTCACTGAGGTGGAATAAGGCCTCAGTAGTAGTCCTGCAAGCCTCTTTTTAGCATTATTTCCATAAAAAACAAAAAACAAAAAAAAAATGCTGCAGCCAAGAGCACAGAGAGTCAGGCAATCTTAAGTTTCCTGCATAATGATCTTTCCCTTGAGTAGCTGATTCAGCATTTACCTGATACATTATTCAGTCCAGGGGCTCCTGCCTAAAGACACAGCATCGGTTTGAGGGGTTCTTGATCTGGGGAGAATGGTTAGTTATCCTTCCAGGTTCCTTCTCATAATGACACTGGGCCATATATACTGTCTGGATTCATTATGAACCTTGAAGTCCCTTTTGTGGGACTTGCATTGAGGGTGTTGGTCTCATAAGAGATAATTACTGCATAGGCAATTGTCATACTGGAAATGTTCTGTAGTCTTCTCACTGTAGTGGGGGGGTACTTAGTCTGAACAGTTTAGGTACAAACTGGATACAGTGGCACAACAGATAATATTTTTTGTTAATCTGTCCACAACCTAATGAGCTGTCTATTTCCTAAAGAACAAAATACAAATAGCATCTTAGCAAGACAATTACATTTATACTATGAATAAGCACATGAGCTAGTAAATAATAATGTTCTTTGAATCAATGCTCAGTGACACTAAGTTTGACATTTGCCTGCCTCTCATTCTCTCAGAGATGACAGGATGAAGTAAATTTATAGCTTTATTTGCGATGTCAGTATAATAAAGGCATAAGGGCCAAGAGTGGATAAAATGACAGAATGGAAGTGCAATAATCATCTAACGTCTATAGAACACAGGGCAGTGGTCTGTGCTGTTCTGTCGTGTCAGGAGTCTAAAGTTGCTAAATGTATGTAGTTTCTAGTCATTGCTTACAGGGCTTGTATGGGGACATTCCCATTCTATAGTTTCATTTGCTGTCTCTGTTTTTCTTTGAGTTTCAAACTTTTTCAAAACCATATTTACTTCCAATGTAGGTAGCTAACTTTGTATAATGTGTACATGAGAAGCAGTTAACTGATCGTGTGTGAATATACATGATGGATGTAAAAATAGCAAAGTCTTGCCTACTTTCTCATAGTCAATATATCCGAGAAACAGATACCTATGAATGGCAAGTTTATCCTCTCATTTTGATGTTAGCTGTCCAAGAAGGCAATGTCCATTAAAAAAAATTATCTGAATCTTGCTCTAAAATAAGCTATTTGACAGAATTTGTGTAAAAAAATATGTATGAATATGTTGGCCTTCCTGAACTTTTTGTCTTGAGTTTCTCTATGTAAAAATATTTTTTTTATTTTATTTTATTTTCCTAATAGAAAACAGTTGTCAGATCATTCTGAATAAGTTTACATACATTAGCTTAAATATTTTTTTGCTTCAACACTCCTCCACTACTTCTTTGACACTACACCATTCTTACAACATTACAACCTGTTCGATGCACTTGCCTGCATGTGACCCAAAATCTGAGCAATACGCTTACTTGAAATACAAAAAATGAGCACAGTATTTTCCCCATTCTTTATTCATTTTCCCCACTAGCATTGGGTTAAACTTCTACCGAGTCATAGACTCCCCATTATCATCATCCCCAATGTTGCTGGGAATAGCATGTACATATTTGGTATGCCCATTGCGAGTTTAGTTTATTGTCTTTACGTGTAGATGCCTTTACAAGTGCTAAAGCACCAATGAGCCAATTATGACTACTACCTATTTCAGCCTGTTTAGCTTTTTCCTTCATTTACAGAATTATTTACTGGTGTCATATTGTTGTTAGTAATGTCGATAATGCTATAATAATTATAATGTCTGTAATAATGATAACCGCATTGATTTTGATAGCATTAGTAATAAAAACCTTTTTTTTTTTTTTTTTTTTTTTTTTTTTTTTTTTTTTTTTTTTTTTTTCAAACTGAGGGAAAGTTGAAATCATCTGAGGTCACAAGGTCTACCAAGGGACTCCTTTGTAGCTAAGCACTTGTGAAGCTATCTATCTGCTGAGATGTTTCATAAAAATACTACAGCAAAGTCTGTATTTACCTTGTAACACTGGATTATGGAGGCTTGGACAAAATCTTGGAGTCACTTTTTTCTGTCAGTAACAAATTTCAGAGTCTATGACCTTTTGGTTTGCAGGGTACACCTGTACGTGCTTGATGTTGCAGACTCCCTCCCCCAGTGTCTGCCGTTGCCAGAAATCACCAGTTTATATCACACTCAGGGATTTCTGTTCACCCGGCAGTGATTGGTTAACAGTCCCAATTATATGTTCATTAATATTCCTCATACAGCAAACAGAAGATCTCTCTCCCTCCCTCCCTCCTTCCTTCCTTCCTTCCCTCTCTCCCTCCCTCTCACCTTCTCACCTTAATTTTATGTTGCTCTCTTTCCAGACTCTTCAGATGATGACGACAACATGCTAGATAATGTCTTGGGAGTATCTGAGTCAGAAGACCAGTGGGATGAGATGTCTGACTATGGAGAAGTCAATGGCCACTCAGATGCAGACTCAGACATGGAAGCAGATGACACTGTGTCGGCAGTCAAAAGAAAATTGGAAGAGGAGCAAGTAGTGCTGGACAGTGATAGTGAGGAGGAAGATGACTCTGAGGAAAGTGAAGATGAAAATGAAATTGAAGTAGATGATAGTGACGATGACTGAATTACAGAGTAAAATACCACTCCACAGAAGCACAGGAGTTCTCATACTTTTTATGTGAGCTGGGCAATGTCAGTGTTACGGAAAGAAAAGTGATCTCTAATACTCTTATTGAGTGATATATGTTTATGAAGTATCATGTTGGAGAATTACATAACACTATTACATATTACATAACAAATCAGTCTGACCAAGATGTAATAAACCCATCATTAATTTATATTAGTCAGTACATAGGAACAATATTTGAAAGTATACAAGATCCATTACCAAGCAAGTAACTAAGCCACACTTCACACCGATTTAGATTACTCAAATGCAAATCTATATCACCCTGGATGCTTTCCATTTCTTCTCATTGGACTGCGTCTTTCAAGACAGATATTTGATATTGACACGTTTACATTATTCCTGGCAAGCATTTGAAGAGAGTAGAGCTCTGACTTTTACATTTAGCATATGGTGTGGGAAGCTTTGTATGTGAGACGTCCTATCTTCAAAAGTGAGTGATAAAATGATGAATGGAAAAGGAAATTAAAAGAAACTACAAATGCATATAGATGTATTTTTATTATAAAGTGTCCATTGGACACATAGTATATAATTATATAGAACAATCATAAAGTTTTGGACATTGAGGTAACTTTATATATCCTGGCATCAGGATTGTACACTTTTTGATATTCAAGAGAATACTATAGCAATTATGGAAGGGATATGTAACATGCTTCAGAAATAAAGAAAATAAGATGTCCATTTGTTATGCTTTGTTATAAGTAATGTTGAACATTTGAAATTTACTTGTACACACATTTGGCAGTTTGTAATAATACAAATGAAGGTTAATTATGTGAATAATGTTTGATAACCTCCCTTTCTCATTTGTAGTTTATTTAAAGATCAATCGCGTAAACATTTTCCACAAAAAGAAAGTGGGGAGTTTACATCCAATCCAATCCTTCAGTTGCTACTATTCTCCTAAGCTGTGAATTCCTGCATGACTGGAAAATTTATTTTGTCATATAGATAGTTTAGCCTTTCATGTTGGGTGTATGTTGATACTATACTTTGTTCACACATTTAAGTATTTTTGTCACAAGACCCTCTTTTTTTTGTCTTTTTGTTGTGATTCACACAATATGTTTAAATTGTGTTTGATGTATTTGTCACATACTGACTTTCTGTGGTGGGGGAATATTTTTTTCTATAATTTATATCTTCAGTTATTTTTAATTAAAAAGAATAAGACCAATTTTATCATGACAAGTTGCATACATTTTATTTTTCAGTTTGTAAAACATATATTAAAAAATACATAGTGTTAGAAACTATTACTGGCAATGGCTAAACTTCATATTCTCCAGAAAATCTGAACCTTCTTACAAACCCAAATCACGAACCGACAGTCTGATTTTGACACCTTGGAGCCCCCACTTTTTTCTAACCTCAAACAGTTATTATATATTAGTTCATTCTTTTTGTGTTTGTGTGTGTCCTTTCTTTTTCTTTTTTCTCTTCCTTCCTTCCTTCCTTTTTTCATTTTTGTCAACCTCCCATTCCACCTTGAAACGGACGGAAGGGGAGAGAGAGTTCAGCTGCGTCAGGAAATCCGAGAACAGGGCAGGGTCATGAGGCTAGAGAGCAAAGTCGTCGTCGACATACCTTATACCTCAATGGAAGGGAGAAGCTCAGCCTCGGAGAATTCCATGAACAGGTTTGCCAAGACTGGCGAGAAGGGAGAGCCCATGGTAACACCGAGTAGAAGCGACCCTCAAAGGAAAGGAATTCGACCACACACACACACACGAATCAGCTGGAGGAAGGGAGCAACCTCCTCTTAAGGTAAGCGAGGACGTCATCAAGCTGGACCTTTGTGAACAGGGAGTGGACATCCAAGCTCATCATGATCGCCGGTAAGACACCACGGACACGGGAGATGAAATCCTGAGAGTGACGGACGTGAGCAGGGGAGAAGTTGCCAAGGAGGAGAGTGAGAGACTTCGCCAGCCAGGCCGCAAGAGAGGAGAGGAGGGAGATGATGATGGGGCGCAAAGGCACGGCCGGCTTATGGGTTTTCGGAAGCTCATAGAAATGAGGAAGTCGAGGGTTGATGACATTGAACCTCTGGTAGAGATTCGCCTCCGGTGACATCCTCCCTGCGCTCTAAGAGGAGAAATCGGGCACGGTGTTCCTATGAGAAGAGATGAAACGGTCAAAGGATGAAATAATGTCGATAAGGTAAGGGGGGTGAGGGCGGAGAGCAAAGGAAAGACCGAAGCCAAGGAGTTATTGCTGGTGATGGGTCAAGGACAGGGAAGACAGGTTGGTGAGAGCGTCGGTGAGGAAAAAGCGGGACCAAGGACTGCGGGCGGTGAGGCTGGAACGTTTCTGGGAGAGCGGGCATGGCTGGTGGAGAGGGACCGGGAAGAATCATGAGTAACGTCGGCTATGAGCTGGCAGACATGTCTGGGGAGCCATTCCTTCAGGAAGGCCGAACGTCTCCTATCGTGAACGATAGAAGACCTACCAGCGCGGATAGGTTCAAGGAGGAGAGCGTGCTTAGTCTTGGAAAGGGACATCCTTATTCTGAATGTTTCAGTACATTAGAGATCGAAGAAGGGAGCAGGTGCTCCCTCCGTGATTGAATCGAGGAGCAGGCGTTCCTCGAGTCAGTCACGGAGGAAACCAAAGTTCATCCGTCTGACCGTGGCGATGACAGAAGCCTCGTAAGCACGAAAAGCAAGTACCGGGTCAAGGAAGGAGGCAAACAGAAACGAGAGATTTCTTTTAACCGTAGGGCCCATGATGGATAGTAAGACCCTAACGTGCTGATGCTTTAGTAGAAAAACCCACAATGCAAAAGCAAATTTTTTTGAAAATGAGACACTCGTTTTAGGTGCCTTATCCTAAGACGTTGGTGATTATGGCATGCCACGCTTCTGTCTTTCGCCATCTGCAGTAACCGTACTTCAAAGTACTGAACACCTCTCTCTGTTAACCAACTTTAAGACTACTCATCCACGTAGTCGTCGTCCTACCCCTGCTCCTTTTCCCCTCTATCTTTCCAGTTAAAGCAAGGCTTTCTATACTGTCCTTACGCATCACATGACCCAAAAACCTCATCTGCCTGATTCTCAAATCGCATATGAGCTTTCTGTTCACCCCCGCTCTGCGAAAAACTACTTCGTTCGTTATTCTTTGGGTCCAGGAAATTCTTAACACTATACGCAAAAACCATACTTCACAACTCTAATATATCTCTTAATTCCGACGTTAAGGTCCAGGCTTTACACCCATACATTAGCACAGGGTATACATAGCAATTCAGTACTCGTAATCTAGTGGACATGCTCAAATTTTTATTCTTTAAAATGTTGGAGAAAGCTACTTTCAAAAGGGTATTTCTTCTATTAATTTCTTTTTCCCACCTGATACCCTCTGTTAAATTAGTATCAAAAGACTAAACCTGTTTTGTTTCATGATCTTTTACTTTCACCTCACACCACCTTTCTTTGATATAACTATACATTCGGTTTTCTTACTATTTATAGTTAACCCCCTGATTTCACCTTCTCTCACGCTCATATCTAGGAGCCTTTGTAGATCCTCTTCCGATTCTGCCATGAGTACCGTATCGTCACCGTAACGTATGTTAGTAATGTTATGGCCACCCAGTTTCAATTCCCCCTCTTGTTCTAACGATCTAAGAATCAAATCACTGTGTAAATTAAAAAGCTCTGGAGACATAACACACCCTTGTCGAACGCCCCTTTTGATATTTA